CTCTTATACTATTATATAAAGCGGAAGAGTTTGTTTTTTTGTTTGTTTGTTTGAACACGCTAATCTCCGTAACTACAAGTCTGATGAGCAGTAATGGGAACTTTATGAATCAACTAGCTTTTACCCGCGGCTTCGCTCGCGTCACAAAAGGATAAAAAGTAGCCCATGTGACATATACCACTACACACAGCGCCATCTATACCAATAATTTCGTTTTCCCTCGAGAATATCAAATTTTTCCGGGATAAAAAGTACCCTATTATTTAATCCAGACTTCTAATTTCACGTCTGTAAAAATTCAAAGCAATCGGTCTAGTAGTTATGGCGTGAAAGTGGAACAAACAAACAAACTCACTTTCCGATTTATAATATTAGTAAGGATAACACGTGTAACTCCCGATAGCTTAGCAGTTTGAAGCTTTCTGATTATATTTGAAATACATTTTAAAAAACTTAACATAATTAACTTCTATAAAAAAGAATCATAGAAATTCGTATAGAAACACGAAAGCTATATATGAAATCTTCTATACATATAAAGTCTCAATTCTGCACATTGAAAATATGTAAAAAATAAAATATTTTATGTGTTTGTGTGGTCGTTTGTTACTCAATCATGTCAAAACGGCTTTAGAGACCAGGATGGAACAGAGGTAGATTATGGTCTGGGGTAACACAGACTACTTTTGCCCCTAGGAACGCGGGCGAAACTGCTGGCAGAATCTAGTTTCCTCAATAAAAATATACAGAATGTCCCTGAAATCGACGTCCAAATGACCAGGTAATTGGTAAGGTTAAAAATTTTATCATGAACGATATTTGTATGTCGAATTAATGGGATATGTTTAAATGTGAAAGTACTGAATATAAACAGAATTAACTCAAAACATGAGTGCATCTAATAATGTGGCAAGGTATTGTATATTATGTGATGTTTGAACGTAATTATATTTTATCATCTCTTGTATTAAACCAACTGCAGTGGGATTCAATTACTTACATTCTAATCACAAATAATTACCAGCAATCATAACTTCATCCGCCATACTATTTAACAATGCATTAAGTAAATTGTAGTAAAAACAACCTTGAACCTTAATTGAATAATGGCAAAACATGCTCTTCTTCCTTTATGTACAATTTTGCATTGAGTATATTCAATAAAAAACCACATTAATCCCTCTACACAAGTAGATGGCAAAGGTTACTTTTTGATTTTTCTAATCCAATGATTGGTCAATACCATTATTCAGACATTTTAAAGAATGGAGAATAAACGAGAGGATAAACAAACAGACAAACGGTCAAACTTTAGTAAATTAATATGGCTATGACTATGGCTTGATATACATCAGCCGGCCCTTAAAGTTGGGTAATATTTGTTCATTTGTAGGGTAGGATATGAGGGTGAATAGGAACAGAATACTAAATGACATCGCATCATTGCCAAACTAAAAACTTGCACTATTTAAATAGACAGTTAAGTAAAACAGACTCCTTAACCCTTTGAGTACCGTCATTATAGACACAATTAAAGAACAATAGGTTGCGGTCACCGGTGTTTGACAGTTTAGGGTCGGAAGTTTGCGGAGCGAAGAGGACTGGGTTGCCGTCTCCTCTGTCTGCGAAGTAGTCAGCTACATGAGGAGGAGGCGGGGCGCATGAGCCGTCGCGAAGGACACTCCGGGCATTGGGGATCGCGAGATGATCTCCGGCCACCGTAAGCCCGTGCTACGGACAGCGGGCACGGGTAGCTCGCTAGCTAGCCGCCCAACCACAACCAGACGCGAGGGTTGGGTGTCGCGTTCCGCGCGCAACTCAAAGAGCCATCAGACCACTAAAGATGAGGCCCGATAGGGCTGATGCCGATATGGAACCGCGAATAACTGAACAGGTTACGCGGGCGGGAAAAGTCATTGGATGATTTACCCCCTTATAAAAATGTCGGGAGTTTTTTTTTTCTTAGAGTATTACGGTTTAATGCGAAGTAGTTAGTATTAGTAGTAGAGATATAGTTCTATGGGGAGTCTTGAATGGTGGTGGAGAAAAATATCAGTCTCAAATTTAGAACCTCTGTTAACCACTGAAAGTTTTAAACTAGAAACAGCTATAACAACGACACTGTCGAACCCATTGGCATAAACTTTAGAAATATAATGATTATTTAAACAAACAAACAACTAATAATAAATACTTTTAACTATGTACAAAATAACTTCAACGCCCCTTTTTTCTGAAGTCGATTAATTAATATACCAAAGCCTACGGTTTTCAGGAAGGTGTTTGTTATACTTAGGTTCTTCTAAGTATAACAAACACCTTCCTGAAAACCGTATCAAAAAATAATTGCGCACAAACATACATACAAGACCAACTGAGAACCTTCTTTTTTTTAATTCGAATAATTTTATTATTGTTTCAGTTATCAAAATTGTGATGCTTCACTTGTTTTAGACTCAAATTGGATAAAAATTATCTTCGTTGAATAATGTAATCTAAACTTCTATATTATCTATACTAATATATCTCTTGAACAACTAGTTCGAATTGAAAAAATATTCTTGTGTTGATAGACCATTTATCGAGGAAGGCTATAAAACATCAGTCTACGATCTATAGGCGCTGAGCAGCGGGTGAAACCGCGCAAGATTATCTAGTATGCAAATAAGTTTAACAAAATCATGTTAAATTAAATTATGTATTATATGACACGTATTCATAAGTTCCAGATCAAAATTATAAACTTGTTGTTATCTATTATGATAGTTGCATGTATAATAATATAATTTACATCATGTTATCATGTAAGGTAAATGCAATATATAAACATTACATATTAGACAAAATTGAACTATATTTAGTAGGATTCAAATTAAATATTATAATTATTGGTCTTTAACCGATTTTAGACTAGATAAAAAAAAATTGGATATATTTTATGTACGCCCATTTTTTACCAGTTATGTTATGGGTTCCAAGTCGAAAAGGGTGAAATATTCACTAGTTACAATTTAAACTAGCTCTATTAGGTTAGATAGTCTAGAGACTATGCATCTTGACTTCACAAGATGCCACATTTTTAAAGTTGTAGGTGCAGGGTCCACAACCAGTAAGCTTGAATGTGGCCGTCTGTGGTTTCCGCCTACTCCCCTGAATCATTGGCGCGAGATTGTCTACGTAACTGGCAAATTTATTTTTTCAGAAATTAGTTACAACATTATGACAACTAAGTTTATCACTCAATTAATTTATTGATAAGTGTGATTAATCAGTTCAGTTTATTTAATCGCCAATATGTACGAGCTCGCTTTCAAATGACTCCCAACAAAATGGATCTTTCTTTTTAATTGTTAGGCTATTGTCCAAATATGTTTGTATTGTATTAATCTGTCAAACACCAAGCGGTCACCGGTGACCGCGACCTATTGTTCTTTAATTGTGTCTATAAAACCGGTACTCGACGAGTTAAAGGAAAAAAAATAATGTTTACCGTGACAGTTGAAAAATTACTCCGTAAAAAAATGACGAAAAACAAAGCATTAAGTATTTTTTGTACAACATAATAATATTTATCTTGAATGGTTTTATATAAATACTTTTTCTCTACTTCTTCGGTGCTAATGAGTGCTTGGAAAGCTTTGTTCATTTATTCATAAATATTTAACTTTTAACCGACTTTAAAAAAAGGAGGAGGTTCTCAATTCGACCATAAAAGCATATTATGCTTTTTTATGTTTCTTAAGAATTATCCCAGTATGGTATAGTAGTCCCAGAATGGTCCCTTGTTAAGAAAATCAGGATCTGATGATGAAACACCAGGGAAAAGGGAAAAAGGGAAAACGGAGGGGAACTTTTAAAAATTATAGGGGCGACTAGTGCATTTGTAAAATTTTTCATTGAGTATTAACAACCACTACAATCCGATAAAGGTCTGGAGTCCATCTGTTGATGAAGCCGAGAGCCAGTTGAGGGAACTCCTTAACGGTTACCAGCAGCTATGTTGTGTTTGGGTTTGATAATTTGTATTGATGAGGACTTTACACTTAGATAGGATGTGATTATCATTAAGAGTCTGATGATGAAGTAGTAGGACAGTTGAGGGAACTCCTCGCCGGGACCAGTAGCTACCTTGTGTTTGGATTTGATAGTTTGTATTGATGAGGACTTTACACCTAGATGGGCTGGTGATGGTCAAAAAAGGTCCAATGATGAAGTATTATGATAGTTAATGGAACTCTTCAATGGTTAAGAGTAACCACCCGGTGTTTGAGCTTGAATAATTTGTATTGATGAAAGCTTTGCATCCATGTGGGTTGTATCTAATATAATATATCAAAGTACTAAACTAAAAAGTATAAAATAAAATTAAAAAACTGTGTTTAAAAAAAACTACTTTAAAAACTAAAGACACAACTAAAAACACTGATACGTTAGAAATCGCGCCACAAACCCATAACAAAATATAAAGTTATTAATGGTCACAGCTGGTATAATCCATAACAAAATTGTAAATAGCTTAATAATGTTAGGTATTTGATATTTGGAATAATTCTGTGTAAAAGTTGTTTTTTTCCTTTTTAGTTTTTACTTTTCGTTTGTCTTTAGTTTTTAAAGTCGTTTTTTTAACACACTTTTTTTTTCATTTTTTATGCATGTATTATTTATAATGGAAAAGTTAGACATGTACTGTACAACTTGAGTAATAAGGATAAACACAAGTAGAACAAGTTTTTTGAGTTTTAAGTTAAAGGGTTAAAAGTTTTAACAGTTGACAGATATTCTTGCAATATACCTAATTTACATTCTAATCCACCTAAATGTAATATGCAACTATCATATGGACTTAGTGCACTGATTCGATATACCCCATTCTGGTGTACATCATTTACTCTAATTCTATTCATCAATTTTTAGGCACACAGAGAAAGGAGGCAAATATGACTCATTTTCAATACATAATTACATATATCACAATAAAATATGTCAAAAAGTGCACTTACTGCTTCTTGATGAATATGTTGAATCTTTGGATGACGTTCTCCTGGAGTCCCATTCTCTAGGCTTTTCCCACTGTGACACTTCACTGATACAGTTATAATAATACTTCTTCCCTGATGAACTAATATGCTCTGACCATTCACGGCCAGAAACACTTGCTGAAGGTGCACTTCTCTTCTCATATTTACTACTCCTACTAACACTAATGTTCATGCCACTAGTCCTATTCTTTTTATCTGGTTCATTTCGTTCATGATTACTTCTCTCTCTCTCACTGTCTTTGCTACGTTCCTTCGGTGATCTGACACTATCTGAAATTATATGAATTTGTAGAATTAATATTAATTATTTTCTACTTTTGTTTTTGCAAGCCATTTGCGTAAAATAATAATTCGCATACTGATGCAGTGAAACAATCGCTGTGCAATGTCCATTCCAGTAAAGTAATTAATGACAATAACTCATTTTATTAATAGGTAGGTAGTTTAAACTTTATCTAAAACCAACTATTGAACAATCATGCATTTCAGCATAATTAACTCGTCGAGTACCGTATTTATAGACACAATTAAAGAACAATAGGTTGCGGTCACCGGTGACCGCTTGGTGTTTGACAGTTTAAGAAGTAATACTCATAACAAATATTGACATAAGTTTTAAAGTTAAAACTGTGACTAGAAAAAATAAATAATTAACCATCCAGATTTACAGCTAGATATTGCAAAGATCTTGTTAATAAAATTTAAAGAAAAGTAAACAAACTGTTGTATATTCTGAGTATGCAATTTATTCAAATACATATTTGCGAATAAATGTTCTATAATAAAAACATCACTTTGTTATTTTATTAAATTGAACCTTCACATAAATTGTAAGTTAATTATCACAAATTCATATGAACAAGTATTTTCCTAAATTATAGGTTGTGAACTAATTTAAGAAACCATTCACTATAGACTTCTGTAAAGGTATTATTTGCTATAATTTGTGGGAATAACCTAAATATTAATCTCCATGATAATAGTTAAGTATTTTTAAACACCCTTAGTTTAAGACAACAAGTAGCTATTAACTTTTTAAACACAGTAGATAATTTCCTGAGACACAAGGCTGATGAAGATGACAAGATGGTAAACAAATCATACCTGTATACTTATTTCTAGAGGATTTGTAGTCTCTATCTCTCTCCTTTTCAGAACCCTTCTGTAGGTAAACATTCCTGGATGATGGATATCCTCTGTCATCGGCCACATGACTGTAGTGGTGGTGTCCGTGGCCTGATTGACTGGAGTGTGTGTTGTGACCATGTGCGGACACATTACCATTAGGGGATCGAAGAGGAGTGTATCGGTTTTCAGAAGAGACATAATCATTGGCTGCTCTTCTTTCACTTTTTGAATTGTATTTCTGTTCAAAGAAAACACTTTGTAAGTAATAACGTAAAATATATATATCCAGTGGGTAGTTATTATCATCATATCATCAACAACAATACCAATATGCAATCATATCTAAGACACTTTTATGTTTTGCCATTATAAACAAATGTAAACAATAATAAAAAGAAAGCTACAGAATTTGTAATTATGTGAATGTTTAGTTGGTGATCTAAGAAAACGTGAGACTTGATTTGATACAAATACAATCACAAACCATGATGGTGAATGCATGTAAACAAGAATAGTTTTGTGTTGAAGAGTGATAAACGTGTAGACTAAAGAAAAAACATCGTTAGAATAATTCTGAAACGTTTAACATGAAAAGAATATTGTCCTCCTAGCAAGTACATATCTATAATTCGATTAGGTCAAGAATGATGTACAAATATTAGGTACATTTTCGAAAGAACTAGTAGGTAAGTAGTATGAAAGTTAGAAATTAATTATTTTAGTGACCGCTGAATAAATGTTGTTGTTAAAAACAGGAAAAGAATAGTCGGGATCAATTATTACGTAGAGTCCCCACTCTACATAATTCAGGCAATGTTTAACCATCATCTTTGTTAATGCATCTGCATTTGTATACAGAAGAAATAAATATCATACCTGATACGGATGGGACTGATGCTTCTCAAAGTACCTGAAAACAGACAAAAACATTTATTACATTCACCTAAATTATAGTAAAACTCAAATCGGCGACCGCCATCTACAGACTGCAAAGCCGAAGCATTCAAAACCATATCATACCCATCACTTATTCGCTGCGGTTTCCTTGCATGCATTACCATCAATGCAAATGTACGATTTAATACGGCCTCAGTAATAAAATGCCAAATGAAACCACTGTCATTAAAAACAGTTTTACAGAAGGCCGTGTAATATCTTGATGGACGCCATGTCACATTCAAGACACTCAAGCAAGAAAGAGTCAGTAGAAAAACGAGCGAGATAAAAAATATGTCGATGATCGACGCTTTGATGATGATAGAGGTTACGTTGAGTCTATGGTTAGTAGTTAATACATTGACATAATAATTTAATTATTTGCGAGTTTTTTGACAAAAATATTATTTAAATATCATAGTTACCGAACATTTGATGACTTTGCTACGCTAATCCTTTTTTTCTTTTAAGATTCCAAAATTGCGTAATAAAACGAAACCTATTAAATTACCCACCTTTTTGGAAAATAAGTAAATATTAATCGATTATTATTAATATTAATCACGATATTATTATAATCGAATAAAGAATGAACTGATTGAATTCTTAAACTCTATTTCTAAACCGGAAGTACCAGCCTACTGTAAAAGATTTATCCGTAACTAGCCTTTTTTTAAAATATTGAAATATTACTGAAACTTAAATATGATAGTATTTTGCTACAGTCAAATAGCAAAGATTCGGTCAAGGACTTCATACGCACTTCACTTAAACTGAGACTATTTTTCAACTGATGTTGGTTGCCTAAATTTTAATTCTTCTTTGATTACGAATATATGTAAGTGTACCGTAGGTATAGGTATTAGGGTGTTTAATCCTAAAACCTAAAGACTGGTCAAGAACAAGACTATCCTTAGATATATAATAATAGTTTATATGATCTTTGAGCTGTAATCTATCTATTGGAATTGTTTATTATTTTTATTTTGGTATGGTGAAGGTGAAATAAGTTAATTCTTAATTTTTAATATGATATCGGAAAATTTACCAAAACAGTAATCAAGTAATCTTTTTGAAAATAATTATTATTATTCTAAAGATTTTGAGATGAAACAAATCCTGAATTAGCAATTATTTGTGATTTATAAAATGTATTATACATACACACAATACAAGAATTCAATAAACTATGTTTCTCCAACAACTCTATCTATCCCGTAATTTCCATTATGGTTGAGCAGAGACAATCAGCTAGGTAGATACTCCCTTCGCATTCGGGTCAGCTAAAAAAAACAACAAACTTCCGTTGAAACTTCTAAACGTTTTAGTTCTATTTATTGTATTATTTTCATAATGTTACCAATTACGTGTAAATAAGTGCGAAGAAAATGGAAGGTAAATAATTAAACATATTAGATATGGTTTAAGCACTTAGAACATCTTATAAAAATCCATAATTTAATAGTGATTCACTTGTATGTACAACTTGTAAACTGTTATGGCGTTTGTGTCTCGATATACACAACGCATATTCGTATCTCTTCTCTATTGTTTCATTTAACGTCTAAAAGTATTGAAAAATCGTTGCTAAAATATGTTGACAACATAAAAATGAAGTAATTTTAATTATAAACAAGCAAACAGTGAAAGCGTATCGTTTTTAGGTTATGTTTCCATCTTTCATTGGTATTTTAGGTGGGTTCACTAAGACGGGATATCAATTGCATGTTTTTTTTCGAGGACCGTGTCCCTAAAAGTGATGTCTGAATGAATTTCTCACGGTTTCTAGATATTCAGTCATGGTGGGAAGTGCCCAGCATCGCGTACTTTTGTTCTTTATTCAGAACTGCATTCAACCTTTTGGATTTTGACATTGAAGTAAGTAGCAGCTACGATTTGGCTGATGGAACACTTGCTGATCCAGTTAAATTTATTGCGAATGCTATGTATTCTTATCTTTTAGGAACTTGAGGAAGCTCTGCTTACTGATGGCACGGAAGAATCGGCTAGTTCTCTCCTGACTGAGTTGATAGTACGTCTTTTGAATGGGTGTTTGGGCAACAATGACATCTCTGCCTTTAACTATCAGGTAAATTAGAAATAAATACTCATTCATCATTTGTACGAAACTGTATTGATATAAGTTTACATACTGTATTGTTTTGGTGTTTCAGATGTACTTGAGACGTTTGTTTAGAAGAAAATGCACAGATACAGGGAGATATAATCCATTCAACACTGATATTGATTTCCAATTTTTGCCTTTACGCACTAAGGTTGAGATTTTGTATGCCCTATGCGATTTTCGATTAGATGCAGATGATGTATTTGATTTATTTAAAAACCTTGAAGCGGAAAGTCTAAGGGTTGAGCCACTTGGGTAAGTTTAGTTTTAGTACTACATACATTACTTACTGAACTGGCCAATAATTCAAACAAATTATATGGTAGATAGTGGCTATTCTATCTATTTCTATTCTATTCAGAGTCTGTAAAATAGACCAAAAGTATGTTATAGTATGGATTCTGTTTGTCTTTTTATTCTGTGTTGATCCATGATAACATTTTGTTTATTTATTCTCCAGTTGGGATGACAACTACTCAGCATATTGGTACTTTTATGGCACAAGATTATATCGAGAAGATATAATTAAGAAGCCTAAAGGAAAAAACAAAAAGAAGAAAAATAAGGAGAACAAAAAACGAGGCTGGTTTTATGGTGATGATTGGCTCGATGACGAAGATACTGACCGAGTTTGGCAAGTGGTTTGTTTTACTGAAGAAGATTGGACCCACCTGACAGAGAAGTTTAGTAAAGCCACTAGCAAAGTTGAGAAAGAGTTGTACCGTTCATTATCACAAAATTTTTTGCCTGAAATACCTCGACTCTTTCAAGAAAAGGAACGGCTACAGCGGAAGAGGTAAGCTTATTTATATATCTTCTTGAGTGTGATAACCTTTCATTAGTATTTTCTTAATTACTGATTTTAAGACCTAGTTTAACTTATTATATCCATCAGGTTTGGTTTTTCATATTTTATAATATATGATATAATTTAAAATCTTATGAGTATAAATGCGTATAGGTAATATGATAACAATAATAAGATTAAAATCATCAAAAATAATATTTAAAAAGGTGTTCAAATACAAAACAATTATTTGAATGAAGCATAATTTATGATGTTATAATGTGTCCTTTCATAGATTTTGGTTATATAATAAATACATTTAAAGTATGTATCATAAACAAAGGCATCTAGGATAAGAAAAAAATGTCATAAGCTGTCTAATGTTTTAGAACTATCCATCCTTGTCAATCGAGTAATGCCTGTGCGATTGTAATCAATATTGCATTGCAACTGTAGCCAGATGCTGAAACACATCTTTCGCGAAATTAGCCACCACTTTAAATTATGCTGTTGTGCTGAAGATGCATAATTATCATTATACTTTTTCTCTCCCTTTTAACTCATCTTATCATGAAACTGTTAACTCTGATAATTTATTATACATCAGTTATCTAAACTCTAGAAATTTGTAATTCAGATTATAAAGAGATCTTATTTTCACACTAGTTGCTGGCGAAAATTTCAAGTCGAAAACAAAAAAGTCGTATTATGGAAATGTAATCCATTTATCCTTCATTTTATATGCCATTTCTTATCATCGACAATTGTGAATCTTCTATTTTTAATCTATTAATTAACTTGCAAAACTGTGAAGTAGAATGATCCAAAAAACTTACACAGATTTGACTGCACGGTTGGTGCGGTGGCTGGGCAACCGACTGCCGTGCAACGTGTTCCGGGGGGTCGATTCCCGCACGGGACAACACTTTGTGTGATCCACAAATTGTTGTTTCGGGTCTGGGTGTCATTGTGTATGTGAACTTGTATGTTTGTAAACGCACCCACGACACAGGAGAAAACCCTAGTGTGAGGCAACGTTTTATTTTAAAAAAGAAAAAAGATTGTAGATAATAATATTTTGTCATGGAAAGTATTATGGAAGACACTGTCATGTCACATTCTGCTAAATATGGCCCGTTGGCGCCAGCGCTCCAACCTAATAGAAACCGAATGAATTTACTTCAATACCGAGCGAAAAACCAACATGTTCTTGTTTTAGATAATGTATATCGATTTAATGAAAATGCCATGTGCAACTTATTAGTGATTCTTTGAGAATAACCGTTATATATGTCTGATTCAAGCTGTATCATTAAACCATTTTTTCCGAATATGTGTATATCCTGGAAATATATTTACTAAAAAATCTCAAGAAATACGAGCATGGTTACGTTTTTAGAATAAAGGACTTGTTAATATTAATAACAGTGTGCTATTTTTTTATATAACAGGAACAATTCGATTCTTCGTCGTATTATTGAGAATGTGAAAATCGAAGTAGCCGGTAAATTACTAATTCAAACATCGAATTCGGGACTCTGCGGTTTTGCTTGCGACCGCTAGACCAATTAAGCAGTTAGACGAATATTTGCGAACTAACAACTGTTCTCATTATGCAATACTATTCTTTTAGTCCCCGGGCAATAAGTATTAATGACCTTTTTACGATCGATACCAGCTCTTGCGAGGATTTCCTTGACTTGATATTGGATTCCTAACCCACCGTAAGCTTGCGCAATTTTATATTCAGAATATAAATATTATTGTACACACGGAAGCCCATCAACGTAACGTGCTGCAGTGTGTTCATATTTATTTCATATTAAGTTATTATAACTTCGTTTATAAAATTAAATAGATACCTATTTAATAAAGATAATTTTTGAATAATAAAAACATCTTGCCATTTCATCATTGTACTGTAACTTCATATATTTTGTCTGTCTAAAATCATCGTCATCTAAATAATTTTCTCTTTGTATAACTTTAAGGTTGTTAGAGCTAGCGCCAAGAAGAACATCAAGTCGTGTTTTACAAAAAATAAAGCAAAAAGAGGAAGAAACCAAGCAGTCCACGCATGACGTGAAAGAAGACGAAGAGGAACGAAAAGAAACACCAGATCTTGCGCGGGAGAACCGAGCCAGGCGGAGAAACTTGTTAAGGTATGTGTTATAAGGTTCTGATTATCAATAAAATCATCATCACCAGCAATC